CAAACATGCTGACTTTTAGATAAGAGCATGAGTAACCTTTTAATATTATTAATATTATAACAAACTAATATTAACATCTCACCATCTTTCTCTCCTTTTCTCCCTCACTTACTCACTCAATTTATACCTTTTTTCCGTTTTCCTTTTCCCGTTTCTCTCTCTCTCTCTCTTTTTTCCACCTCCCACCCTGACTTTGATTCCAAAGAAGGCAGAAAAAAATAACACTGTAGATTCAGAATCACCATGAAATGATGAGTAAAAAACAACTTGATAAGATGAACATCATTTTACCTCCAATGGTAAACATTAATCAATTTCATTTTCACTTCTAACTCTCTTCTTGTACTTCATCACTTTTCCATCTTCATTGACACCGCCAGCACCCACTTTACACCTTTTACCTCCTCTCCATTCCCATTTCCTCTCTCTCTCTCTCTTTCTCTCTCTGATTCTCTCACTTTCTCTTCTTGATCTCTTGGGAGCGATGAAATCAACAGTTTTTTTCTTCTAAACTCAAAAAAACTGTCATTTCTATTCTGTGATACTTTCTCTCTCTCTCTCTCTCTCTCTCTCTCTCTCAGAATTTTCTTCTCATTCAATATTACTTTCATCTCTCTTACCTCCTTCCCTGCTGAACTTTCATCTCACTCATTCACTTGATAGAAAGGGTGATACATTGACAATTTCAAAAACTTTTTCAACTTTTTTCACTTCTTTCGTCTTTTTTTTCATCTTAACTTGATTCATCGTCAAAGGTTGACAGAAAATCGTTAGAACTCAGTAGCTTCGAGCGTAAAGCTGAAATTCGAGAAAAGAAAAAAAAAGTCTTAAACTTCCACCAAATAATATATATACTAGAACTTCCTATGGATCATGATGATTAAAATGAAGATGAGGATTATCTTGTTCAATCGATCAAGATAAATGGTAAAGATTTTCCCACAAACAAACAGAGGATATTAACAAAAAAACCTTACATATCAATTCAAATATAATTAATACATTCGGATTCTAATTGTTATAATCAATTGAGATAAAAACAATTGGATCAAGATAAAAATAACTGTTAAAGATACATAATCCATTTCGGATTATCTTTTAATCAACTTAAACTAATTAAAAATAAAGCAGAGAGAGAGACAGAGATTAGTTTCTGAGGTAATTGGTTAATCTTTCGTTAATCATTTTCCAATCACGATGATAAGTAATATAAATTGAACTGAATGGATCAATGAATTTTAGTCTTTTCTCTTTCTATTTAGATTATAATTATTGTTATTGAATAAAAATAATCTGTAGATTAATAATACATATTGACCATTCACTCAAAAAGAAGAGAAAAAAAAAAGTTTCAAGTTGATAATATTTTTATACATGAATGAAAAACTGGTCAAGTCCAACAATGACCCTGCCCGAATTGGACATACACGCAATTCAAGTCCGGAAGTTTCTGGTAAACTGATTAACCTGATTAGATTCACTTTCCAAATGTCCACCCACTTTACCCCACCCTGATTCCTAATTAGCCATTTAATCATTCAAACAAAATCATTAATCTGTTTCCTTGATTTCTTCCTGTGTGTATGTGTGTGTGGATTCATCAGTCACCAACAGAAGCAAAGAAAAAAAAAAGTTAAAAACAACATCAAGACAATAAAAGGTCAATCAACAACATCTTAACTATTATAATGTATCTTGACCATTATGTTTCATTGAAAATTGATCCCATGATAATGGTGAATATCTTGAAATATATTCAGAATGATGATGACGAGGAAACTGAATTTCAATGATATTAATATATGTATATATACATTATAATATACAGTAGCCAAATGTTAATATGTATGATGGGATAAAGTAAATGCAATTTGAATAAAAACATAAAAACAGCATTGACCAGGTTATTGTAATCGTCAGTAAATTGTTGTGTTGAGAAATAATAATTTGACTCATGAGGAAAATTATTATTATACAATTTAGATTTGAAACCTGGTCAGTTGATGTTGTTGTTGATGTCGATGGTGATGATGATGATGATGAGAATGATGAAAGGCAAGTGATTCAATCATGTGTACATGTGAATGTGTATTGTTAATATAAAAAGGATTGATTTAGTTACTCACATTGGTAGTGGACACACACACATACACAAGGTGACCACTCATGGGAAAGACAAGAAATGAATCACAAATGAATTCGATCAAAATGAATCAAAAAATCATTTCCACCTACTTACACACACCTTTCTCTCTCTCTCTCTCTTCTTTGAGTCTTTGACAGACACATCATCAACCCTACAACCACCCAATGAAATCAATGACCAATGTTGACCATCATCATCGTCATCATGATGGCGATGATGGAACTCTTTTTTTTTCTATCAATCTTGTGAATCATTTGTAGAGATAATAGTAAACAATACTTATGACCAATCTGTTGACCAGTTGAAAGGATGAACCAAAAAAAAGAAGACAAAAAATAAAATGGACCAAATGTTAATGTGCTTGGTCATTATTTGAGAATATTAATTACACTGGTCAGTGAAAGTATTGTTTTGATCGTGACGAGATGAAAAGGTTCCAATGACTTTTCTTATAAAATTCATATTCAATTTTACCGTTAGAATGTAAAAAACTATCATGAAAAAAAAGGTAAACATGTAAAAGAGACAACCAGGTAAATCATAATGAGTTTCATGAATTGAATCATGTTGAATTTCGTGAAGATGATACTTGTTGGAGAGAGAGAGAGAGACAATTGATATTCAGTGTTGTTCAGTGAGCAATTTATAACAGATTCAATTGGTTGTGTATAAGTTAAATGAGTCAATCATTTTGCTTTTCTTATTCTTTCCTTTTCTTTACCTTGTTTTACATTCTACAGGGAGAGAAAATTGAAAATTCTGTGAACAAAACTGTGAATACCCTCCCAATGAATTTTAGTACATGTCTTATATTATATTCGTAATACTTTAAATAACTTACACACTCTGTAAATGTTTCTCACTCTCTTATAAATCATAGTCTCTCCCTGCTAATACTTGTATCTTCATCATTGAATTCATTGAATCCTTTTCTTTATATATATTCAACATTGGAATCAAATTTACTCATCTTCATCCTGGTGTAAGTGATTGGTTAAACCAATTGTAATAGAAAATGATTATCACAGCAACAACGATAACAACAATAATATTAACGACAACAGAACTACATTAATCTGGATCAGAACTTTTTTTCCCACCTTATATATACTTAATCACCTTGTATACTTTTATTTAAAACTTTTTCAATTGCTCATCAGGTATTATCATTATAATACAATATCCGATTTATTGATTTAATTGTAGCCTCAATTTATATATTTGTAATTGAATTATTGTAAAAATGAACCAATGAAATAAGTAATGATTACATTGATTGATCATGATGATTATTACTTATACACTTATGATTGTTATTTAATCGTAAATTGTTTATATTAAATTACCTTTTTTCTTCATGATGATCAGGATGAACATTTGATTGGTAATAGGATTGATATTAATAGAAGGCTGAGAAAAAGATTGACAAGTTTGTGGTGGAAAAGTTTTCATGGTGGAGAAAAATTCTTGGAATTCTGAAGAAAAAAGAAGCAGAAAAAAATATAATCTAAAGATAACTTTTCTTTTCTTCATTACGTTCCATGAATCAACTATCCACCTACACTATTCCACTGACCATTGGTCAAGATTAACTTCTTAATTTGTTTAAGAATCAATAAATATTAGAAAAGTCAAACTGTTAGAATTAAAGTAAATTGAATTAGATTAGATAATAATGATAATCATTTCGAACATCTCATCGAATATGTTTAGAACTTTGTTATAAATTGTTCTCTCTCTCTCTCTCTCTCTCTCTCTCAAATTATCGTATTATTCATATATTGTTCATATGATATTGAACTTTATCACGTTAGGGAAAAGTATATACGATTCCTAATTTCACCTTATTCTAATGATATCTATCTCGTGATTAACTTTGATTTGTCACAATAATATATTAACAATCAACGTTGAATGAATTGTGGAAGGTTACAATTATCATCATGATCATTTTTCCATGATTGTTGTTGATTTAATTCGAATAATGATGATGATATAAAGGAGAAATAAATCTAATAAAGAGAGAGAGAGAGAGAGAGAGAGAGAGAGAGAGAGAGAGAGATTTTTTCTCTCGAACTCAGAACTGATAATAATTTCGAATAAGAAAACAAAAAGTTCTTAACATGATATCACCATTATCGTTCATTATTTTTCCCACCATTAACCATTGAAACAGATAAAGGATCAGGAATTATCATCATTATCATCGTTGTCATCCTAATCTTTATCATCTACAAAAAAATCATGAAGAAAAAAAATCTAAAAGTATCCAATCAATTTTATCACAAACTAAACCAATTATTGATTTGAATCTAATATTATCAACATGATTTGTTGATTATTATTGTTGTTCAAGCAGTTGGGTGTGAACAAAATCCTATTATTATCATGATACTCATAGAAGAGAGAGAGATGATGATGATATGATATATCAAAATGAGAGAAAAATATGATTACATGATAATTTGTGATTCCAAATTTAATATTATTATACACAATCGAGATTTAATCATGACTATAATCTAGTGATTAAAATGATTAAGGCTAAAATTAAATGTAATTGGTATTACGTTTACAAATATCAATTAACTTTAATTATAATTGAGTCTCAATCAGATTAATCATAATGATTATCATGTATTTATTATAATTAATCAAGTGATTATAATATTCATTATAATTTTTTCTGTTCCCTTCCAAGTGATAATTGTAAAGATTGTCTAATAATCATTTCAGTTTCTAGTCTGATTTTTATATCTATCATAATATAATAATAATAATAATAATTAGATGGAGATAATTAATTATTTAATATTGTTTCTTTTTCTCGTCACTTAAATATATACTATTCTAGTCTCGAAGTTTACTCGAATTACCCCAGGGACGAACCCTTAGTACACATTCACTTGATTTACCGAACACTGATCAGCCTCAGAGACGAGCATCGGCCCCGGAGGGCGAAAATATCACCATTGTTATTGATGACGTTGATTCGGCAGGTAAGTGATTAATCTTATTTTCCACCTTAATTGTGTTAACTCAATTGATTATTATTCTTCTTTTTTTTTGGATAACTTTCCCTCCAAGGGAAGTTTAAGAAGAGTGTTAGAACTTTTCTCTATCTCTCCTTCATCTTTTACTTTTCCATTGGAAACTTAACTGTTGACTATTTGTGGATTTAATTTCTCAATTAAATTGTTAATCTCTTGTAACAATCAAGATTGTAATTCAGTTTTATCTTACAAATTAAATGACCTTCCAACGCCCTCTACTAGATCTTTTTACCAACTCAACCAAAATAAAAAAAAAAGGTTTTAATCTTAACTGTAAACAAAATCGTTAATTGTGTTTATCTTTACCATTGATTATTTGATTGTTATCATTAATTAGTTTACCATTTTCTTTACAATTTATCAGATTAAATTGTTTAGTTAACTGTCTTGAAGCTTATTTATTTCCTTGTAATTTAAAGATTAAGGTATTGACGTAGATTTAAATTAGAAGCTACTTTTTTTCCTTGATTACAATTAATTGTTTAAAGATGAAAGTCAACACACAATTTAAACACTGAAAAACCTTCACAATTAAAGATAAGATAATTAATCAAACATGATTAAGGTAAATATTTTGCTTTGAAAGTTTGAAGAAACAAAAAAAATTTTCTTTTCCGTTTCCGTTGAGTAAAAAACAAAAAGCTTCAATCAATCAACAATTTATGTGAATATAAATTAGTTGACTTTTAATTATCCCAAGGATTAAATTGACTATTGTGATTGAATTAATTGTCTTTATATCCAATAATGTATTAATTTGTTTTCTCTATCCTTTTATATAATTGATTAATTTACTTTTAATTATAATTGTTACTTACCTTGATTCTGGTTCCTTTACATTAATACCTCAAGAGTAATCAAGGTTTTCGGGAAACAATTTAATTTAATTTGATTGGATTGGATTACAAATCCCCAGTTGACTTGAGTTACTTGTTTTTACACTCTTTCCTAATTGTAAATGATTTAATTGTTGATTGATTATTTATTATTCTGTGATTATTTTCCTCGTTAAATCTAATTAATACTTTGTTGTGTTTTGGTTTTTTTTGTTCGTTAGGACTTCGAAAGTCAAACTCTCAAATTGAACGAATCATTTTACATCGAGATGAAACTGACCTTAACCCTCGAACTCATGGATTTGGCCTTATTGTTATGGGAGGTAAAATGTCCGAAACCGATGGTAAACTCTACGCTTATGTGGCCTACATTGTGCCCGGTGGATCAGCTGATAAGATGTCATTAAAATCGGGTGATAAAATATTGGAATGGGATAGAAAATCATTGGTCAATTGTACCTTCGAACAAGTTTGTTCAATCATTGAATCTTCACAGAATACGGTTGAACTACTCATCGAACCTTATTGTCGAACGTAAGTAAATACAAATAGAGAAAAAGGAAGAATTTTTTTTTTCTTCTTCCAACAGAACAAGAGAGAAGAAAATTATTATTTTCTCTTCTAATTGTCTAATCTCAAATATCCAATCAGTTGGAAAATTATCTGAGAGAAATTCTAAAGGGAAGCAACAAATAAAAAGTTCGAAAACTTTCTCACTTAGATAGACTTTCGAACTTTCAACCTCCACCCTTAGCATTCTCACTTTACTTTCGAAATCGTTTCCTCCATTTTCTCTTCCTCAACACCCAACCCACTCCACCCTGAATCTCACACACACACACTCTTTTCCCTGTATACAATAATATGTATACAAAAATTTCCAACTTTATTTACTGACCGGAAAAGGAAATAATTATTCAATTGATTGTTAGTTTACTTTTCACTCTGCTTTTCAATTAGTAGAAGATTCAATTTCCTTTCAAGTTCATCTTACCATGAATTTAGCTTGGATTGAAATTCATTGATTATCTCATCATGTATGGAATGGTCTCTCTCTCTCTCTCTCTCCTCTCCCTCTCTATTAATATAATGACCAATTTCCCACCCTCAACTTCATAAAGGTAACCAAATGAATCTGATGATGTTTACAGTTACAGTTGAGAGAGTCTCTGAGTTAAATATTAATATAAGGTCAATATCTAACTTTTATTTCATTTCTCATAAACCACATAATCATGTTTTCACCCTAAGGCAATAAACTCATTACTCCGTATATCATTTGATGATATGTATCATGTAGATGAAGATAATGTTGATACATAATAATATTAAGTAAATGATGTTACACCAACTGATCATTATTATTATTATTATTATTGTTATTATCGTTTCAACTTGAAGATATCAAACAAAATTGAATTTATTTTCATCTCCAATTCTCAATACTGAATAATAATAAAAGTTCTGATTGAAAATGATGATGAACAACAATCAATATCTTACCAGGTAACATGTTGACCTTTGAATTGAACCTTTTTTATATATATATATACATCACTTTAACCTCTTTCCCTCATCTTGATCATCTCACTCCAGGTAAACTAATCAATAATGTTGAGTTAATATTTCGTTTGAAACTTTTCCTTTTCTTCCTGTGGTGTTTACACTTGAAACTTTTACATGATAAAAATGAAAGATCAACATTTTGAAACGACTCAACTTCACCCAAATATCAACCTCATCTTTTTAGATTCTAAATGAATTCAATTTCTCAATCTGAAAAATAAACATTCAGGTTATCTCATGATTCACGAACTGTTCATTTGATTCAGTAGATATTTTTTTTCTCCTTGCTCAATATTTACTGTTCTTATTTTCTATGTGATTATTTATTCCGTTGGTTTAGTTTCATGTTAGATGATAATAGAAATTGTGATGACGAATTTTTCTTTAATTTTAATTTTCGATTTTTTTTCTCTTCCATTGGAAATTGGATTATAACTCTTCCACTCGCTTTCTCTCTTGGGAACACAGAGAACGACGAGGTGCACTTATTCATCAACGTCGACGATTGAGTCAAGCCTTTTCTCAAAGTGGTAGTGATATTTACTCAAGTCCACCGGTTTCACCTTCCTATCGACGAGTGGACAGTTCTGATGGAGGTTCTACTGCAAATGTTAATCGTTCTGGTCGTAAATTACCTCGAACTCCTGAATCTATTCAGGCAATTGGCCAAGGAGAGATTCTTATCCAATGCTGGGTTGACCTGGAACGAAATGAGCTCGTGATAACCATTATATGTGCCAAAGGATTAACTACCAATAAGCGACCTTGTTTTGCTCGAGTTCGAATAATTCCTGAAATGTAAGAGATAAACATTAGAATATTTTGATAATATATTAACGACATAATTTCCATTTCAAATATCATTTTTTCTTCTCTCATTTTCTTTTTCTCATTACATTACCTTTTTCCAGGGGTTTCAAGTGCTGTCAAACTGAACTGAGTAATGGACTCGAATGGAATGAAACTGTTATCATACAAAAATTTCCAATCGAAAAGGTAAAAGTTGTGATGATTTCATGATGGATTGCGACTCTTAATGGGATAATGATGATGAACCCTTGATGGATCAACTTATTCAACTTTTCACTTTTTCTGACTGAATTTCTTCAATAGATTACAGAGATGGCCTTGGAAATTGGTATTTGGGAGACCAGTGGAACTTCAGATAAACCTGAACTTCTCGGTGAAACCATGATACCCATGGAAAGTGCAATAGCTCATAACACTGACTGGTGGCCTCTTCTTTTACCTCAATACCTTTACAACCTTGCTAGAAGTTCATCCTTGGATACATTAGGTAAAAATCACTCTTTCTCTCTCTCATCATCAATGAAATTTCCACCTTCTCCCTCTTCTCCCTCTTCTCCCTCTTCTCCTCAAAGTTCATTTAACTTAATACTTGCTTCGGGAATTGTTTCCACTCTATTATTATGATATAAAAAAAAGTTTCCACCATGAGATAAGTTACATTAGCACTGAACTTTTCATCTACAGAGAAGTGTTTACAGATTGAGATCTATTACTTGCCTGAATCATTTGCTTTCAGCTCTCAGGCATCAAGAATATTCAACATCCTCCTCTCCCCCCAACCACCTTATTCACCCAATTTCATGGAAATTAGCTTGAGGCCAGGAAAGAAAAGTTCAGAATCAGATCTCAACTTATGTATACCAAAATAGCTCTAAATGATGAGAGAATCTCTTAGGTAGGGAAACCATGAAAACCCACACAGTCAATTGTCAATTTGATGAAAAGCGAAAAATTGTCACCATGTTGGTGAAGAGAATAAAAAATTTTTCCTCATGAAATATGAAATTGAAGAGAAGAAGAAAAAAATGTTGGAAATTCCAAAAATCTTCCAATAAATACATAACATGATTTATCTGAGGTTTTGATATAATACAATTGAATAATATCAATAGTCTAATGAATTCATGATGATGAATCAATTTGATTAACCTTGATGATTCATCTGATTATCTTTTAGCTTTGATTTAATGATCAGTCTCATGTTTGGCTCTGAATTTTCATGTACATGTAGTAATATTTTTAACTTTTTTTTTTACTCCATCAAAATTGAATCTAATCAAAACCAGTCAATTCAGATCAATAATTGAAAGTCAAGGTTTCATGATAAACCTGAAGCGTATTCAATATTTAATATATATATCATTCATTCAGAATGATATTATCAGTTCTGAGATTTGATTGATTTTGAGATAAATTTTCATGGAAGAAAAAAAAAGGTAAATCTATTTGTAGATCTGAATTTTGTGAGTGTAAAACTTTGACAGAGAAAAATTAACTCAATGAGATGATGATTGAATCTGAATCAATCATGATTGTCTTTTTCTCTGTCACCATTTCATGATACTCATTAGAAAATTGTTCGAGGTTTTTCTCATCGATATTCGTTGATGATTGAATCAATATCATGATATTTATCGATTTGGAATGAGATGGAATTGTATCATTTTTTTGGTTCTCTCTTTCAATCTTTAATTTCATGATGATTGGATTGAGGAATTTCTCACTTTCTGGGAACAATTTAAACAAAGTAAACAATTGTAATTGACTGTGATTTTTTTTTCTGTTTTCCTTGAAAACAGCGGTGAAACCAATCGGTGGTGATGGTGGTTACAATTGCCTTTCAGAATCGAAATCTGTTCCTTCAAGTCGCCGAAATTCAGGTCGATCGGATATAGTTGACCCACTTCGAGTGATTAACAATTTAAATCCATTACTGGTAACAACTTCTTCACAAAGTGTAACCTCACCGACAAGAACCATGAGCCTAAGAATGGGAAGAACCTCAAGTGATGCCTTTGTCCACCATTCAGGTATCCAGGGAGGAAATGGTGGTATCGGCGGTGGAAGTGGTACTTTAATTACCAATAATTCAGGTACCAGTGGACCAACACCTAGTTTAACCCTTGAACCTCCACCTTTAAGTCCAAGAAGGAAAAGTGCTTCATCTTTAATAATGTCAAACGCTAATATGAACCGTTCATTTAGCCTTAAATCTAATCCTGATATATCGTTAACCTCAGATTCAACGATTATCGGGTCAACATCAATCATCTCGAAAGGTTCAAAGCGAGATGGAGGTTTAACTGGACATAATAATGACCCATCATCAGGATATAATAATAGTGATTCAGATTCAGAGGGTGGAACCTCTGAAAGTGATTCAATTAATACCTCAACATTATCACAAATGGATTGTGATTTAGGTAAATAGTCAATAAATTTAAATCAATTAATTGGCTCATCAACTTTTTCCAAGTTCCTAATCCAAAGACTTATTAATATTATATTTATGTTGATAGAAATTCACAATTAACTGATTAGTAAAAAAAATATAATCACAATAACGAGTGCAGAGGTTGGTGATCAAATCTTTAGTTAATTATGATATGATATTAAAGAAAAGGCTTTGATTAAACAAAAGAGATTAGTGAACTTAATCAAGAATTGGAATCGATATTTTTTCAATCAAAATAATCTTTTTATTCAGAGTTAATCTCATTTTTATTAAGCTCTGAACTCTTGCATTTTTCATGCTCTAATTGATTAATTAATTTTCTATTGGATGAAATTGATTAGATTCCAGTCGGATTGTTGGTGAACTTAAACTCGGCATGATAATGACCAAAGGTGTACTCGAAGTTGAAGTTATCGCCGCTCGTGGCCTTATCTCATCTAATCCAAAGCATCCTCCAGGTAAGTTAACAAAATATATACTACGTTGACCTGTGGTCACTTTGGTTTAACCTTTTTTTTTCTTGCGCTTCTCCCATATACAGATACTTATGTTAAAGCTTATATTAAAGACGGTTCTAGACATTATAACAAGAAGAAAACTCGAATCATTCAGGCCAATCGTGATCCTCAGTATCGACAATTGTTGAAATATGATGCTGGTATTTTCTATGGTCGGTCACTTTTAATCAGTGTTTGGCAAAGACACCGAGGATTTGAACATAATACACCTTTAGGTGCGGTCAATTTACCGGTCAATACAATGCCTCTAACAAAGTTGACCATTGGTTGGTACAAATTGTATGCTTTTGAACGGTCATCGTAAAATTATATCGATAAATGATTATCTCTCACTCTCTTTCTCTCCATTTTTCTGTTGACCAATTGTATGATAAAACTTGTTGAATATCAAGCTAAATGTTGCGATAATAAAATAAATCAATTTAAATTTTGTTTTCTACTTTTCGATTCTCAATCCAATCAATTTTAAGACAATCAAATATCAATTTAAAGAGAACTGTTTTTTTTATTGTTTTCAAGTCAACCTACTGTTTATCAAGACATTAACAAGATCCATTAACATCAATCTTAAATTGTTTCACAATTATAAACAATTTATTGATTATTTAATCTGAGGGTTGGAAGGTTAACTTTCTTCTCACAAGATGGAGCCATGTGACTTGTGAACTTTTTTTTCGAAAATTTTTTAGTAACATTTAATATCTAATAGATGGCACAACTTGTTCCGTGATTTCTATTGGCCTCATCAGCGACATCTAATGTTTATATTGTCTGATTATTAATTGTTGAGAATTTGATTATTTCTTTTCAACTGAATTATCTTTGGAATTTATCAATTTCTTTCTCAATGATTAAAGACTATTTGATTCTATGGTGGAAAAGCATCAAAGTTGAGATTCTCTGGAAGATGAATGAAAACTTATCAGGGAAGAAGAAAAAGTTTTCTTAAAATTAACTTGAATTTTCGAGGGAAAAAGTTTCGATTTAATTATCACCATTGGAATTAGAGTGATATCTGATATTCTTATACTGGTATCTGATTTTGGAAAAATCTTTTAAGGTGAAAAGTTTTACTATTTTTGATCAACATTTTGATTGAGGAAAATTTGACAGATTCGATGAAGATGATGAGGAGAGAAAAGTATTCGTTTTTTTTCATTCTCATTCTCATTCATCTTTATCTTCCCACTACGAGATTACTTTGTATCCTTTCATCATTTTCATCAATTCTATTTTTTTTTCTCCTCCAATCATGGAAATTTCAACTTGAATTGTTATCTAATTTTACTTGTCAGTCTCTTCCCTGTTTCCATTCAGTCTCTTGTATTCCTTTTCCCTCCCTGGTTATTTTATGCATATGCATATACCTCTCTCATTGTATCTTCACTTGTCTTCCATCTTTTTATTTCAGGGTGGGAGAGGGTGGGAAATCTCTATCTGTCAATTCTTTGAATCTTTCATTTTCTTTTTTTTTCTTTCTAGTTTGAATTCTTCAGTCAAAGTGAAAGGCTTTGTGATGATGAACAAGATGATGAAAATGATCCAAGTTTGTTATAACAGAAATAGACAAGAGAGAGAGAGAGAGAGAGAGAGAGAGAGAGAGAGAGCGAATTCCCTCTCTGGATGAAAAGGAGAGGAAGATAAAGGCGAAAAAGAAATTGAGAGAAAGGGGAGAAGACGAAATCATTTTTTTCTGTTGGAGTTTAAAAAAACTAGAGCCTTAAGTGAGAAGGATGAAGATGATAAAATGAGGATGAAGAGTGAGACTAAAAATATATTGGTGACAATATTCAAGCTCCGCTTACTCTTTCATCCCGTCATCCACTCTCTCTCTCTCCCCTTCTCCCAACACTAACATCCCTTTGTCCTCATCCTTTTTTATCATTTTATGCAAGCCTTTGTCTCTCTCTCTCTCTCTCTCTCTCTCATCTCTCCTCCTCACCACCCTCTTCATCTCCCTGTCTTCCCATTTTTTTCATCCTTCATCTTTTTTTTGTTTTGTTGCTACTCTGTCAGATAAGACAACGGGGTAAGGATGATGAAGATGAAGACGAGAATCAGTTGTAGCAAGAAAAAAAGTAAGATAAAAAAGGGATGATAATGATGATGATGATGATGATGGACCGCTGATCTTGCAATACAATTTTTAATGTATTTAAAGTTGACTGACTTGAAGCCTTGAAGCAACTTAAGGATGATAAAGATGATAAGGAAATAAAAATCTAAAATGAAAGAACAGTTATAAAAAATCCATCTTCCTCATCACTCGACCTCTTTATTGATGCTTCATTTATCAAATAATTTACCATAGGAACCAAGAAGAAAAAGAAGATGACAAGGATGCTGATGATGATAGAATTCATCTAATGAAATTAAATCCAAATTGAGATGATAACTGTTCTTTTTTTTCATGGAAAATTTGGTAAAATTTAATTGTCATGAAACATTTAAAAGAATCACATTTGATGAAAGTTATTCAAGTGAATTTGAATAAAATGATAACCATGAAGTTAACATCTTACTACCATGATGTCCACGTTAATCCATAGCTTAAGATGAAGGAGATAAAGAAGAGATCAAATTTCTTGAAAATTTCGGTCAAAGGTCTGGAACCAAAGGTTATGGATATTAGGAGAGAAAAAAAGTTCGAAAAAAAAATTCATCCAACCAAATGATTGACAGAAATATAATTTTTCGAGAAGAAATTTTGATACACTGAGATCATCAATTTGAATCGAATTCAGACAATTGATGAGAATGAACTTCGAGTGAGAAGAAGAAACAAAAGTCAAAGAAATTGAAGAAAAAAAGAAGACAAAATAAACAAATTCGATTTCGATTTCGATAAGTTCTAAATTCTAAATCATCTCTTTTATCTTCAACCAACACCTTAAGGAAACCTAATGATTGCCTGTAATCAGCTTCCATCTTCATCTTCATCTTCATCTTTTCATTTTCTTTTTCTCATCATCTGCTTCTTCTTATGTCATATTTAAGTTAATATAATTTTCCATGTGATTTACCTGAGTTATAGATTCTGATAAATATTCCGGATGAAATGTCATCTCCTTTAACCGATGGTTCCAGTTGGGGTTATATCAAATTGCTATCACATCATAATTCAAGAAAATGATGATGATGATGATGGGCAAAGATGACGGCCAATAGCCTTTAGTATGTATCCATCATTATTATGATATTTTTCACAATGAAACATCATCTTCATCCCTCATCCACTCATCCATAACAGCAACAACAACAACAACAAAACAACATCATCATCAAAACAGATGAAGAGTGAAAACCAAACCAAAAAAGTAACAACAAAATCTCATGTAATAGTTATATTTTTTTTTTCTCTCGGTGACAAAAATGATACAAAAAGTTGAAAATTTTTCAACTATTATCATCTTTTTACATCACATCATTATCATCATCATCATCCTCATCATTCAAAGTAAAAAAAATCAAAACTGATACATAATAATAATAATAATAGTAACATCAAAGTCAAATCATTTCATAGTAATAAGATAATAATAATATCATTAGAGAGATGACAATGGACAAGAGGACACACAGCATTCAGATTGATTCTGGATTATATCATAAGGGGTGGGGAGGGAAAAGTTATCAAATTACCCTAAAAAAAGATGAGCAAGTAACAACAACCACCAACACCCATGTTATGGTCATTTACTCACATTGTTAGTAAACTTTTTCCTCGCCTCCCACAAATAAAACATCAATGAAAACATCAAAATCTCACAACATTTATCATAGAGAAGGAGAAAAAAAGATTATCTTCCTCATCATCAGAACATAGCAAAAAAAAACCTCTCCCTCTCATTGCTTACTCTCTCCATTGTATCTATAGGGAGATATTTCAATTGTCCTTTTCTGACCAATGGTAAAATCATTTGGGTCATAAAAATGCTCCGTTTTTGGGATAAAAATGATAATATTTATTGTGTTGTATACAAGGCGATCAAAAAGAGTGGCCCATTCACGAGTAGGTATCGTCCAACTATATATGGTGGACATGCGTGTATGAAATTGTGTGTGGCTAAGCCATTCAAATAGCTGACCATTACTTTTATTTGTAACTTGAAATACATTTACAGGCGAGTACAATATTATAATACCATTGGATTGGTCAATATACTTTTACCATGTAACTGTACTTATTTGTTTCCATTCAATGTAATAACTTTTAGCATCCTCATCCTTATTTATTATTTACTATTCTCTCTCAACTCTCTCTATCTCTCTTTTTCTCTTTCATAATTTAGATTTATCTTCATCCATTTATCATGATCATTGATTCAATTTGGTGGTCAAATTTTAAGCAATTGAATGAATTTATTTCCACCACAAATAAATAGAGAGAGAGAGAGAGAGAGAGAGAGAGAGAGAGAGAGAGAGAGAGAGAGATGAGATTCAAGGAGGAGAACTGGGAGTGAGATGAAGATAAACGATTCTGAGGATTTTTTTTTCTCCAAAAGATTTTCTGTTCTTTCATCATCAATATAATCATCCATCTCTTTAACTTTCCTTTTTTTTATCTTCTCTATTACATCAGCAAATGATTATGAGCAACAGCTTCAGCTGATCCTCATCCCTAATCTTAAATCCTAAATCCTTGAGTCGTTGTCAAGTTTACCTGTTTAGCTTCAGCATTTTGATGTATTATCATCAAGATTTACACCTTTGATTGAAATCAATGAATGATTGATGAGCAACATTTTGCTTGGAACTTTTTTTTTTCTCTCTCTCTCTCTCTTATCATCTCTATTCTATTTGTTTGTTTATCAATTGACCAAAGTAAAAATAACAGGAAGATGAAGACAGATCAGTTCTTGTTCATCATAATTATCATCAGAATGATCTTCATCCTTTTTAGAATTTTTTATTTTTCTAAACTTACTCTTCTTCACTTTATTTTAAAACAGTTTTTTTACTCATCATCATCATCCTTTTGTTGCATTTACAGTGAAACATTTATTATCATCACCATCACCCACCTCCGTTGAGCCCTCATCCACTCTCTCTCAACCCCACCCACTCTCTTCATCAGTTTATATATTTTTTTAATTTATCAATATCATTCATTGAATCCCATCAATCTAACTGAAACCTCTTTATGTCAATCTAACAGTAAATTTCATATCTCACTCTTCATCCTCATCACATTTAGTTGAGTAAGAGAGAGAGAGAGAAAGAGAGAGATAAAACTTTTTCTTAACTTTCTCCTCATCCTCATCATTGATAATCGTTTTGTAACAGCAACATGCTTATCATCATAATCATTATCAGTTATAAGCATCATCATCATTCAGTTAATATCTAATAAAAGGAGAACAGAAAAAAAGTGAAGATGAAAGTGAGATTATCATAGAAGATGCTCTAACCCACCCTCAAAATCCTTCCACTACCCACTTCCCTT